TAAAAATCTTTAAAAAAGAAAACTATTAAAAAAAAATCATTGAACTATTTCTTCATCATTTGATGCTAATGCTGATCTTAGTTACTGAACATCATCTTTGCTTCCATTAGTAATAGAAACTATTTCCTAGGGGTAAAGAAAGTTACAGAAGGTGTCCTTCTGAAGACATTTTTCTCTAAGAATCTTTTGAATTTTTTTGTGTAATTTCTGTCATAAAGAATAAAAAAGATAGTATATAGGAAGGGTTTATTATAGTTTGTTGTGCATAGCAGGGGTGTAATGAACATTTTGTGTGTGTGTGTGTGTGTGTGTGTGTGTGCAATTTTTTTCTTCTACTTCCTATTGTCCCTATCACTTCAAATACCTTCTATCGGTCATTACACTAAGCAAAATGGGGAACTTTACTGACCAGTTCATTCTCTCCGTTGCAATTCCAAAAGCAATTTCTTCAATAAAACCCAACTCAAGGAGCGCCTGGGTGGCTCAGTTGGTTAAGTGTCCAACTCCTGTTTTCACTTCAGGTAATGATCTCAGAGTTGTGAGACTGAGCCCCGCTTTGGGCTTTGTGTCTGCTTGAGATGCTCTCTCTCCCTCTGCCCTTCCCCCTTCACTCACATGCTCTCTCTCTATGAAAAAATATAAATCTTTAAAAATATGAAAAATTTAAAAAATGAAACCCAACTCATAGTTAATCATTCAAACAAAAAATTACTCCTTGCTTCTTCTGAGTTGAAAAGTCAAATCCGACCTCTTGCTTAGATTTTGGTGTCTTTATATCAACGTTCATATACAAACAACCTGCTACGTGTACTGTGCAGTCTTGTACTCCACTGAAAAACAGGTGTTAACATGTGCTTGGCAGGCATTGGTGGTTAACAAGTAATTTCAAGTAGGTGAGAAATCTGAGTGCCTATTGATGAGGTGATATTATATTCCATACAAAATGGTATCTGTGTATACATGTGGAATGTGTGAAGACAAAGTGGGGACAAACTGTACTCTAAAAGCCAGAGGAAAATTTTAGGGTAGAAAAGCAAAGAGCTAAGAATAAGGACCCACGAGTGGAGAGGCCATGCCAACCCACTTTTTTTTTTTAAAGATTTTTATTTATTTATTTGACAGACAGAGCACAAGAAGGGGGAGTAACAGGCAGAGGGAGAGGGAGAAGCAGGCCCCCCGCTGAGCCCCAACCCACTTCTGAAAACTGTGAGTCACAGGTGGTCCTTCTGTTTTTGTTTTTTATATCGCATTCAATCAGTAAGTCCTCTTTTTCATACCAGATTGCCCCGGTCCATATATTCTCCCACGTGTACATGTTCTCCTCTTTCCTGGAGCTGCAAGCCCTCCTCCCCATCCTCCCTCTTCTCTGACAGCCAAGGTTCCATCATCAGTAAGTGCTGGAGGCAGTAAGAGAGCTGCCATTAAGTTCCCATCACCCCACCCGCCATTTGGCTCCATCTCTTCTCCCATCGCCCTCGGTGGGAGGTCCTCAACCCTGTCTGCACAGCACAGCACTGAAGACACACTGGAAAACTACCCTGGTTGAACCAGAATCTCTATGGGCAGAGCCGAGATACTGGAATTACAAATAAAATTAGCCAGACCAAACCCTCCAGTTGAGGACCAGATCTCATCAGCGTGTGCATGCTCAAAGCCCTTGCTCCAGCAACTTTCCTCCTTACTTCCATGCCAGCAGTTTTTCCCTCCCGAATACATGATTTGTTTCCACATATACACATGCTATTATTTCTCCCATCATTAAAAAGTTCTCTTCGTTTCTTTTCCCTCGGCAGCTACCTTACCATTTCTCCCCTCTACATAAAACTCCCTTCAAGAAGTCTCCATATTCAGTGTCCATTTCTGTTTGCCCACTCTATCTCCATTGCTATCCACTAGATTTTTGCTCCCAACAATTCACCGGAACTGATAACCTCCGTACTTCTAAATGCAACAGTCCATTCTGTCTCCACCCCCATGACTGAACAGCAGTATCTGGCAGTTAATCACTCTCCTCCTTAAAAAGTTCTCATCACTGAGCTCCCAGGACAGCTCCCTCACTTCATGTTCCTCCTTTCTTTGTTTCTTCTGGTAGTTCTACCTCATTTCTGAATTCTTAATATTGGAGCTCCTTAGGACTCAGTTCTTGAGCTTCTTATATTTTTATCTACTCTCATTCCCTCAGTGATATATAGTCTTTGGGCTTTTGATGCCCATATGCTATATGCTCATCTGTCTCCAATTTTTATCTCCAGCCAGCATGACACCCCCTCCTAATCTGACTTCCTAGCCGCATCCCTAACTCTGTTAATAACATTTCATCCTCCTAGTGGTTCGGGCCACAGCAAAGTTGGTGTGATCCTTGAGTCTATAGGATCTGGGTTCCATAATTTCACCCTTGGTGTCATGTCTCTGAATATGTTACTATGTGGGGAAAGGAATTAATGTGGCTAATGAGATGAACTTAAAATAGGGAGGTTATCCGAGATGATCCAAGTGAGCCCATAGCCCCTAAATCACATGGGCCTTTAAGGTGGAAGAGGAAGGCAAAAGATTTGATCAGAGAAATGCAAGGACAGGAAAAAAACCAGGAGAAATTCCAGGCCTGAGAGGGTCACTCCATCTACCCTTGCCGACTCTGAAGATGGAGGAGGCGCTAGGATTGAGGGAATGTTATGGCCTCTAGAAAATGGACAAGTCAAGGAAAGCAATCCTCGCCTAGGACCTCCGGAAAGCATCGCAGCCTGATGATACCTGGATTTCAGCCCAGTGGGACCCACCCAGGACTTCTGACCAGAACTATAGGAGGATACATTCACACCCTTTGCAACTACACACTAAAGGAGTGGTCATTCATTACGGCAGCAGTATAAACTGATATACTCCCCATCACCCATCCATCAGCATTTCCTGTCAGCTCTATCCTGAAAGTATATGTCCAAATTGACTGTTTCTCATCATGCCCTCGCTCCGCTTTGGCCCAAGCCACCATCATTTCGTGCCCAGCTTCCTGACAGCCTCCCAACCAGTGTCCCTGCTTCTGCCCTCACAATTCTTGATTCAAGTCAGAATGCAGCAGCCGGGTTGGGCCTGTTAACTCACAAGTGATACCAGCTCTCTCTTCTACTCAAGATCCCCCAACGGCTTCAGGACTCACCAAGCACAAAAGCCGGAATCCTTCCCGCGACTCTGCTAGCCCCTCCATGCTGGCTGCTTGTCTGTCCTCCCAATGTATTGACACTGGTTCCTCCCACATGCTCCCTTCACAGCTCTGGGCTCACCTGAAATCCTCCTCCTCAGATATCCATTTGCTTAACTCCCCACACCTCCCTCGGGTGGTCTCCCTCCTTCCTTTCTTCCATTACCGCCTCCCCATACTACACATCCAACTTTATCTTATTGTTTATGGTCACATACCACACAGTGAGGCATCACAGAGATAGAGATTTGGTCTCCTTCATTCACAGCTACCTGGCCCATAATAAAAACTCAATAAATATTTGATAAATTAAGGCATTTTTCCTGTGGAATATGGCTGCTGGGTTCATCCTTTTGTTCCAATCCCCACGGCTACTAGCTCAAGCCAGCTCACTCTACCACTGAAATTTCATCGTTGGATTTTTAGCTGGTGTCTTTGCTTCTAGTTCTTATCCTTATCCTTCCATCCATCCTACAGATATACATCCCTGATGAATCTTTACTAAACACTATTACAGGCATATGCATTTCCTTCTGAGGAACAGACAGTGGCTGCCATTGCATTCTGCTTCAAAAGTAGGACTTGAATTATCCACAGTAATTATATTTCCCTAATACAGCTTAGCAGCCACGCTCCTCACTCCTGTTGCCTTCAGACAGATCCCCATGCCCACACTCATGCTGGGCGGCTATTCACTGCACTGCCTACGTGTGGCTTCCTCTTTACTGACAGAGCTTCCTTCGGAGCCCCTCAAAAATCACATTCTACTGCCCACCTCTTCCTGCTCATATCAGACTCCATTTCCATTAACTGTTTTCTACTTTCTTATGAGGATTTTTTCCTCTCTACTTAGATTAGAAGTTTACTGAAGACAGGACTCATATCTCCTGCACTTGACCACCCGAGTGACATGTCTACATCAGGATTAATTTTATGACTTCAGCGTTTTCACCAAATGTTATAATATAGAATAGATATTATTCCACATCTTATATATTATACATATATGTTCCTCTTGGTCTCTGGGTTTATGATTTTCCTATTCTTAATTTTTCTTAATTTTCTTAATTTTTTTAACCCTATTTAGGCATTATTTGTCCTGTTGATATTCTACATAAGAATAATCTCTATGTTGTTGCATGACTTTTAAATCAATATAGGGCTTATATCTGCCTGCCATTTAATTTAGACATGTTCCAACAAGTACTGCCTGGTGAACATGGACAAACTGCTTCCCTCTTTCACTCAACACCGCTGGAAGGTACTGGGAGGGGGAGGGGGGCAGTGAACTTGGCTGAGAGCATCGCTGCCCCTGGAGGTGCTTACAGCTCCACAGAGGGGATGGCCATGAAATGAAGAGCTCCAAGTAGGAAGAGACTAATAAAATGGTAGCTAATTCCTATTCCTATGGTATTTCTACCCATGAATTCAAAATGAGATAATAATGAATTTTGCAGCACAAGCTCATCATCAAAGGAAACGATTTCATTGGGAAAAAAAGTTTCATTAAAAATTTAAATGAACAATTTACAAAGGAAATCACATGCTTTCCAGGTAGGTAATTCTTTAAAAAAATTACAATAATTTTACCAAAATTTTGCATTTCGTTCATCTGTACTAAACTTGGAAGTTTTAACTATGTTCTTTCGAAAGAGGACTATTTGATTATTTCAGATCCTAAAAAAAAAAAAAAAAAAAAAAAGCCCCTAACATTTAAACGAAATACCATCCTCCATCTCCCCCACCAGGAAACAACAAACAAAAACCATGAAAACCCACAGCGGAAAACTTTCATGTCATGTACCTTCTTTGTCATCGTGGTGGATAATTGCATCCTGTATCATGTCGGCAAGGTTAAAGTGAACTTTTTGACTCTTCCCATGCTTCAGCTTTTTCAGGAATCCTTCCTGCTTCTGAAAAGCCTTCTCTCTTTCATAGTAGGCTTTGATCTGCTCGCAACGCATGCGCTTCACCAGCCTTTGCCGCTGGCCAAGGGGAAGGGACTCCAGCAAGCACTGGTCAATTTCCATTTCATGGGTTCGAAAAATGTTACATAGCTGAAAGCAACCTGCAAGAAACACAGTGAGAATGTCACTAGACCCATTATTACAATACAGTAGCACGACAGAGCGTACTCGATTCCCTATTGCCCAGCACACAAGTCAGAAACTCACTCATTCCTCTTTGCGCTTCACATGCAAAGAGCAAAGGCCTTCTCACAGATGGAGAGAGAAGCAAAGAGAGCTGATGTCTTATTCAACATCGCACGGTAATAAAATAAATAAAATTAGAGCTAGATGTGTAGTTTTGTGCAACTTAATTATTAGCAAACACCATCCTTTCTTATTTTTTTAAAATCTTCACCAAAGACCTAAAAGTTCTACAGATGCATTAAAGTTCCTTCTTTGAATAACGCCAACTAAACTTTGTGTGTTAATTTTTGGCAGAAAGCCATTCTGAGTCTTTCAGCACACCCTAAGAAAATCGGTTTTGTATATCCCTATGACGCTGCTTATCTAACATAATAGAACCTATGTAGGCTATCAACTGTTTATGTGACACAGTGATTATTTCCACCAATATATTGCTAAACACTTTTCCTATGGATTGGTAACATTCATTTCTAAGAGACCTAATATTGGTTGAACAATAAAACAGAGGGCGCCTGGGTGGCTCAGTTGTTGAAGTGTCTGCCTTCGGCTCAGGTCATGATCCTGGAGTCCCAGGATTGAGTCCCGCATCGGGCTCCCTGCTCAGCGGAGAGTCTGCTTCTCCCTCTGACCCTCCCCCATCTCGTGCTCTCTCTTTCTCATTCTCTCTCTCAAATAAATAAATAAAATCTTTAAAAAATAAATAAATAAAAAATAATAAAACAGATTTTTCTCTTGGCAATTCAGAACCATGGATAGAATTGTTGCTGTTGTGGTCTCTGTCTTATTAATATAGTGAATAACAGACTGAATTCTCTGTCCTGAAACTGAAGCAATCTTCACTTTCTTTCAACTTGATATTCCTTAGAAACACTACCCCAAACCCCTACAATGGAAATGTACAAGCTCATATATCTACCACTAGATTAAAATTTTACTATTGGCCAAAAATTAACATTAGAACACTGAAAATTCAAGAGTCGAACCCACAAGTTCAGAGAAGTGTTTGTATGTTCTTCTCTTCAGGTATTTATGATGGAAGTCTCAAGCAAGTAAAAGGAACTATGCAAGCCCCCAAACGTGGCTGATCATATGCCGTGTCTGGAAAGATGACTCAAAAAGGGCACTGCTGCTTCATCTTCGGAGAGATGCCCAACTCCTTTGAAAGGACACCACGTTGTGACAAGGCAGTTTCCATTTCTGTATCACTTGACGCTTCGCAAAGTGTTATTCTCACAACCACCAGGCCAGACCATTTCTCTTTTGCAAGTAAAGAAAATGAAGTTGAGAGAGGCTAATGACTTGTCCAAGACCAAAGAGATGATTATATGACAACCACAAATGTTCCATAAAGGCTCAAGAAAAAAACAGAATAAGAGACAGTGACTCTCTACAGCCAGATATTTAAGATATATAAGGAGGGGGGAGGAGGAGAGGGAAGCAGAGCTGGGAAATTTTGTTCTGGTTGTTCGTTAGTGTTTGACGACATTCTAGAATCCTATATTTTCATTAAGATCTTCATATGTATTTGTAGATTCATATTGTACATGTAGATTTCATATGTATCATATGTCATATGTATTTGTCAGAGTGATGTGAGAAGCATCAAATAACTACATATAAAACGTTTGCTTTCCAGTGACCTAAACACAAAGACACAGCGGTGGCCGTGAAATCCCGGAAGTCAGTCCGTGGGATAAAAGCCGTGATCACCAGCAGATCGTCTCTGAGAGCTCATTAGTAATGGCAGGGGATATCTTCTGCCTTCCAATCTGTTCAGAGAACTGCACTTGGGTTCCCAGGACCCGGTGGCTGCCATGGCTTTCCTGGTGTGTGAGCAGGTGCCCAGAGCATCAGGGAACCACTGGAAAACCCAAAGAGGTAAAGCCGATGACCTCACAGCATGTCACCTGCTGAGGAGCACGTGGTCAAAGGTGGAGGACAGCCTCATAAACACAACAGTCCTCTGGCATTTGGCTCATACCAAAAACCGTACTGTGGAATTTTCAATGAACTTTTAAGGAGTCTGCAGTGACAGCTCATGATGCATCGAGCAGCCCTCTCAGTCTGTCAAAAAGGAGCACTGAGGGATGTTCATAAATTAATTCCCTCATGATCTGGAAAATCAGATGCCAAGGCTGTTAAATTTCAAATCCCTACATGTATAAAATATTGATTTTTAACGTATTTTCTTGTTAGATCATTCCCCGTGCTTTGATTTTAAATGGTCTAAACTTCCATTTATTTTACTGCTAAATATGTAATGGGCGCTGTGACTTTCTTTCTGTGTCATTATGCACGGAACAGCTATGTCATGTATATGCGCTGTTCTCAGTCTGCAAGATACCACACTAAAAATAAGGTAGTTTTGGGAAACGTAGTTTTGATGCAGTCTACCCAAAACCTATGAACTTGGTCACTGGGGCACTAAGAGTAACAGCCATTAATACCTCAGGTGACAATTGGGACAGGCCAAGCAGGCAGGTGGTTAAGGCTGAAGAGGAACTTCATGAGTCTGAGCTGAGCAAGGCTGATCTGCACCCCTGGGATGGGGGTCCTGGGCACACGCTTGCTTTCAACTGTCCCGCAAGAGAGTTGACAGGGTCCTGCCTGCCCAGAACCAAGAGCTTTTCCCCGGTAATGACTGTAATTCTTTCCTGCTATTTTGGCCTAGAAAAAGCCACACATGAACTAACACAACTTCAGCATTATTTGAACCTCATTCTCACATTCCCACAATGATATATGAGCTCATTAGTATGCAGGACACATTTACAGTAAAAGAGCATATTTGCATTATGTGGCAGAGACTGACTTGGGGAGACCAGTTGTCTTTTCTCCTTAGATACATGAGTAGATGTCATTTTTGAGTTTCCTGGGGCTGGCTCACAAAAAAATGGTCACATGCATTTTATCATGTTCTATCCCCCCTACAGCTCGCTGCCTATGAACATGGTGGCCGCGAAAACCACATAGCAAAAATGGCCACGTGTCAGAGAGCCTCCGTCTCTCCACTGCTGCTTGGCGCACCCTCCACCAACCAGCCCTTCTCTTAACTCTGTGTCTGAGAAAGAAATGAACTCCTATTGCGTTTAGGCACTAAGGTTTCGGGTTTTAACTCTTAAAACAATTAACATCACCCTAACTAGAAATTTTTTTTTTCTTTTCATCTTCACAGTGTTGAGTGGTGATCAAGGGAACATTCAGATTTTTGTAGAATTTTGAGTGGTCAGACTACACCATTACTACCTACCAAGTGGGGTTCTAGCAAATTTTTGACACTAGGCTCTGGTGCAGTGGGAGTGGGATCTTCAATTTGTCGGGCCTGCCTATTGTCACGGTGCAAATTTCACCGTCAGTTTCAAGCTACCTATGTCACATCACTAAACAAAGAGATGGGAAGAGGCACTCTCCCTAAGGCAGGGCAGGCGGGGTTCAGCGCAACCCCGGCATCAAGCCCACCATGGAGAATCACGGCTTCATGTGCATCAGAATCAACTAATCTTCAGGAAAAGATAATCTAGCAAGACCTCCAATGTGTGAGTGAAGCAGACAGCATCAAGAATTACCCACTTCTCAAGAGAAAATAACTATAACTATAACCGTAAGTATATATATCTATATATCTATCCATATATCATATATACACATATATATACACATATATATATAATAAACATATAACAGTCTTTGTCCAGGATTTTTTTTTAAAGATTTTATTTATTTGAGAGAGAGAGAGCACGAGCAGGGGTGAGGGAGAAGCAGGCTGCCTGCTGAGCAGAGAGCCCTGTGCAGGACTCGATCCCAAGATCCTGGGATCATGACCAGGGCCAAAGGCAGACACTTAACTGACAGCCACCCAGGCACCCTGGGATGTTTAAATGATTTTAACCAAATGTAGTTTGAGTCATCAAAGGAAGACAAGAGACCATATGCTTTAAATTTCTTTTTTGACAGAGAGAGAGAGAGACAGCAAGAGAGGGAACACAAGCAGGGGGACTGGAAGAGGGAGAAGTAGGCTTCCCGCTGAGCAGGGAGCCCGATGAGGGCTCCATCCCAGGACCCTGAGATCGTGACCTGAGCCGAAGGCAGACGCTTAATGACTGAGCCACCCAGGCGCCCCTGCTTTAAATTTCTTAATCATCAAAATCACTCACTGGTAGAAGGTAATGTTAAGTAACAAAAAAATGGAAAAAACTGAGTTCCGATCTTAGATATCATATTTTCTACTTAGGACCTGGGGTGAAATATTCAACACTTTTAAGATTTTTGAAATA